TATTTTGCAAGTGATTGCCGTTGAGTGAAAAATATTTACCTTATCATTTGCTTTATCACATACAAACTGATTAATTGTTGTTGTAATTTTTATTGAATGTAAGAAAGAATGTAAGAAGGAAAGTAGTGATAAGATTGTGTGATAAGAAACATATGTGTCATATATGTTAAATATTTTATATCAAAAAATGTCTCAAATTTCATTCTGTAATAATTTTTTGATGAAATGCAAGCAAAATTATAAAAAGTAAAACAGAACAACAATTCTTTATTATTACTTATCAGAAAGAATTTGTATCAAAGAATTAAAAATTTGTTTGTTTATTTTTAATGTGTTAAATTTGTTTTTTTCATATATTATCTTTTATCATTGATTAGTGTAGTAATATCGTTTATTAAATGATATTATAATAATGTTGAAAATGGTGATAATATTTTCTAGGTCATGATTATACGAGAGGACAAATAGATTAAAGATAAATTTTACGGTTTAATTATTAATTGAATTTGTAAAGTAAGTCTATTATGAGTATATAATCATGTGTTATGTCATCAAGAATGTGTCATCAAGATTCTACTTCTTACTACCTAATTATTTAATTATTATATTTTAAAAGCGCATAAAGGATACTTGCGCCGCATGCTTCGTTCGTTTCGTGGTCTTAGACATGTTACCCGTGAGGTTGGTAAAGCGTTGGAACGTCGAATACGACGTGATCGTAATAACGATTCCATAATAGCATCACCGATCATTTCGAATGGTACCACTTTTGCCTCACAATAACGTCGTCGACAGCTTCCGAATGCCGAAACGCAGTGACATTTAATTTTTAAAGTAACACGCTGCAACTTCCGTTCTATTTGAATTATTGTAAAAAAAAAAAAAAAGAATTTAAATTTGATTGTTTTAATTTTGAAATATATTAGAAAGGCTAAAATGAGACAAAAATGATAAATAAATTGGCGAAGTTTCAATATTTTAAAATATTAAGGTGACAAATTTCAACAAATGATACTCACCGATCTACCAACAGCAATGTTGTGCAAATAGATTTGTGCTACTCGATCAGAGTAATAGCAAACAAATTGACGATCAATTAAACGTCTGAAAAAAAAAATTTAAAAAGAAAAAAAAAAAATTAATTCTAAATATTAAAAGTTTTACTTTTTAGTTACAATATGAATTTATTTAAATTATTTTAATTTACTTTTTTGTTTTAATTCTGATAATCAATGAGAAAACAGAAAGAAAATGAAAGAATTGAAATAGTTCAATAGAAAAATGCAATTTAAATTGTAAATAAATTATAAAAAAAAAATAAATGGATCAAAAATTTTTTAGAAAAATTAGGGATGAATATTGAAATATACACATGAAATTTTATTTTCATTCATATTTTTTGAAGCGTTCTAAATTATGCAGAATGGAATTCTTCTTTTATTGCAATTTTTTTTTTTTTAATTCAAATACATATTCATAACTTTAAAATTAAATTTAGAGCAATAGTGAATTTATTTTTTTCTCAAAAAAAAAAGTGAAAAGATTAGAATTAAATTTCTTAAAAAATAATTTTCAGTGTAAACTTAATACTGCTAAGAAAGAACTGCGAAATTTTATCTGATAAAATTGGAATTAAATTTAAATCTAAAATTTGTGATAATGCAATAACAAAAAAATTGACAGTGTAAAAATAATAAAAGTTAAATTATTTTAGGACTCAATTTAATTACATTACAAAAAAAAAAAAATATTATTTTCTTCTACAAAATAAAAAACTGCCATATCAAATTATTTACAAAAAAAAAGTGATAAAAAAAGTAGTTTGAACTTTCATTTTAGCTGAAAAGAAAGGAATTGTTCCATTTATAACAAAAATTATTCAAACTGATATACTTATCATTTATCATAAATCTTTTATAAGTAAGTAATGGTTGTGATCTAATCGATTGAAACGAGTATAATACATTGAGATCAATTTTATAAATTAATCATTTTTGATAAACCTTAGCTATGTTTAATTTTAATTAAAGAATGAAAGTTAAATAAAAGATTTGAATGATTGGCTGAAAAATTTTTTATTTTAAAAAGTCATACTTTGACAATTTTATAGCATAGCGTAAATTATCCGATCCTCGATCAACACCACATCTTATCCACGTATCACGCTGATCTGCGTGTACCGGACCGATTTTTGCCGGATCGCAAGAACATGATCGAAGGCGTCCACGAGCACAAGCATGAGCTATAGCACGTACGGCTGCAGCACTGGAAAGTGCTAGGAAATATGCAAATTCCTTACTGGCTGAAATTTAATTTCAAATTTATTACAAAATAAAAATTAGGAAAAAATAGAATTTAAATAATACCTAACTAATTTACAGGATTAAACAAAGAAATAATAATTTATAAACAAAACTTATTTTATATAATTTTTAATTGAAAATTGTTGAATTTGTTATTAATAAATTTAAAAAATTACACAAAAGTATAAACCGGAAGATAATTCCGGTTTATCTAAGCAATATCACTTACCAAATGATGCAACGTTAGAGAAAAGTGTCTTTCGAGGTATTCCGTCAACATTACATTTCCAATGATGAATAACTGATTTCCGTGAACATTCACGCAACGTATCCTGTAGTGCCTCTTTCAGGACATCAATCAAAACCGGATCCTTCTGTAGAATACGGTATAACGGTTTGTCCAATAATCCTTTCATCTACAATTTGTATTAATTTTCTCCTTTTTATATTTTATACCACAAAATTTATTTCCAACTAATTTGCATAAGGTTAAAGGTTAAGATATTATCGATAATACTTTCTACTTTATCATTTTAGTTTCAAATTTTCTGCTAATTAAGCCCTGATAATAATTATTTTTAAATATTAGAATATAAAAATATGCAAGTAGAGCAATGAATAATATTTCTTTTAAGCAATTAGTTTCTCTGCAAACAAAATTAACCACAAAAAATATTTTGCAAAAATTAGAAAAAATAAAAGCACAAATTTTTACAATTTTTTACACTTTCAAATTATGATTGAAAAATATTAAATAAATTTCAATTTCCTATTTTTCACATAGATTTTAAATTGCAAAATTTATGATTAATCGATAACAACAACAAAAAAAAAAAAAGAGAAAACCTCAAGAAGTGATGAATGAATCCAATAAACTTTCCTGAAAATTATCCAATAAATACAATTACATTTTGATGATTAAATAAAATGTAATTAATTAATTAATTAAATGATTGTTTACATACAATGATAAATTTTTAGTTTTATAATTTTATGCAATTAAAAAATTTTAAATAAAATAAATTCTTACCACCATTGAGGTTCATCAAGTGCAAATAATGTTACAGCTAAATTAGTAAGTGTTAAAAAATACAAAGATAATAATGCTGGTATCACTAATAAAATGCGCATATTGTAGTAGTAATATGACACTAAGCGCTTCTTTCCTTTCTTACAAACATCTGTTTGTATGTTTATTCAAAATATTCATATCACTGATTTGCAAAATGCATAAGAAATTATATTTCATTCTCAGACATTTATTTCTGTAATCGAATTGTCGTTTTCTTTATTTCATTATGCCTTTTCCCTTTCATTTCATTTCATTTTTTTCTTTTTTTTTTCATCATTTTCCTCTCTCATAACTTCCGCTTTTTTTTTTTCTTTTTTGAAATTTTCTCCCACTACTTTTTTTTTCTTTTTGAATAAAATATGCAAAATTAAAAGAACAAGGATTAACTGATTTGATTGATTGATTGATTGATTGATTGATCGATTGATCGATAACAATTATAGTATTATTTTGAGACCAAAGAAATAGCCATTATGCAAAAAAAAAGAAAAATGGATTATAATAGTATATAAAGAATGAAAGTAAATAAAAAGTTTACTTCGATATGAAAATAAATTGAAAATATTATAGCACTAATCTTTTAGATATTTACTATTTTAATTGGAAATAAATGAATTAATGCATAATTTCATTAACGATTAATTAATTAATTAATTAATTAATTAAAATATTATCATTTTCACAGATCCATTACATATATATTTTTTTTTTTATTACTTTATATATAAACACAATAATCTGCCAAATATAAACTTCGATATCAATTTGATCAATATTTAACTTTTTATTGCTGTTATCAAATGTTTCCATTTATCATATCAGTTCTCGGTTTTCTCATTCTCTCTCTCGTCTTTTTGCATTCTCTTTATGTCGTTTTTGTTTTTATGTGTACGAAAGAAAAAAATTTCTCTGAATTTATGCGAAATGATAAGTGTGACATTCATATATGTCACACTTATCATTTTGATTGACTATTTATACGTACGTCAAAGACGTGTTTTACACGTTACCTTAATTCACTGTAGTATTTGGATGATCTCGTAAAGAAAAAGGATAAGATTCAGTAAAACTGGATGGATAGTGAAATAGTATTGATGACAATGACTAGTTTCTGTGATGTAATGTTTATTCAAGGTATGTGCAGGTGTGTGCAGGTGCGTGTGCGTGTGCGTGTGCGTGTGAGACAAGCAGACAACAGCGCCCCAGCAACTTGTCTCGATTTTGATGATGAAAATGCTTTAGCAATCTCTAACAAATATTTCATTTTATTATTTATTATTTTTGTTACTTACCTTAAGTTTTACTTTTTATATTTGCTTATGCTTAATGTGATCTTATGATTGAAATTTTTGACAATCTCATTTTTTTTTTTTTTTTTTTTTTGTGCGGAAATGTAAACAATTAGTAATTATTGATCTGATGATAAGACTAAAAGCTATAAAATGCTATGTTTTGAGAAATTAGATGAAATTTATTGAAATATAATAATTAATTACATTTATTATAATTCATTTGTACAATTTTAAAAATCTAATTCTTCTTGTTTGATTTATTTATTTTCTTAGCCAAATTTTATTTTCATATTTTTGACATTTTACTAGAAATGATAATAAAATATTTCAGGAATGTCAGTTAAAAAAGTTACCCATGGCCATGTATTCATTGATATGAAGACAAGAATTACCAGTTATGGCCCACATAATGGTATCATTGTTCATTGTGGCATTCAACAAGAGCCTAGTACGTTTTGGCCATATGTTCTCAGTAATGCATCAAATTCTTTATGCACTCAACAATTGAATATAGCGCCAACATCTGCTACAATTCATTGGCCAACTGTTAAGGAAAGCGATGATAATCAACAAGACAAAGCTACCTCATCTCTATCAAATCAGCATTATCAGTTAACTGATAAGGATAGAATTTCAGCCAATAATTTCAATGACCCTAAAAAAGTGCGTTTAAATGTTTTCGAAACGGTTTATTTTCAAATTAGCTCCTTTTAATTTACATTTTTTTTTTCCAATAATAAATAAATTGGTAGTATCTAAGAAATGGTTATTTGATTTTTTACTCTAAATAGATGGAAGATTTTTTTTTCTTCAAATATGATAGAGAAGTAAATTTGTTATAATGTAAATTTGATGATTTGAATACATGAAAGCTCTCTAAAGTTTACTTTTTAAAGTAATTTTTAAGATTATTTATATGCTATGATAAGTACTTATCAATTTAAATTCAATAAATGTATGCATATTATAACAAATTAAATATATTACATATTCTATCTTATTTTAGAATCCAATGAAAATTAAACTTAAATCGCTCAATATGACATCAAACAATTGCAAATCAAATTTGAATAATGCAAGTGCTAAAATTTCTAATGGCAATATTTCAAGTACGATGGATGCGCCTTTAACAAATGCGCAAAATGTTAATTGTCATCATAATGAAGAAAGAGCTATGAAGAAAAATGATTTAAATGAAAATATAAGGTAATACTTTTGTAAATTTCAACATTAACTTTACTTCTTTCATATTACCTAGAATGTTACTTACAAATTTTTTGAGTGAATTTTACAAATTACAAATTACAAAAAAAAAAAATGAAATATATTTTAGGCCAGAATCTATGATATATTCTGAAAGAAATGGTCAAAATACTTCATCAATTATTATTCCAATGGAACATTCCACTAAAAGAAAATTTATCAATTGCAAACATTACAATGAATTCAATGATGAAATTATGAAGTACGATTATAATCAAATTAAAAAAGAGTTTGTGACAGATTCGTCTTTGATCAAAATTCCTGTGACAATAAATCCTTCAAAAATTGCTAATGAATTTACGAATGATTTTAAATTAGATTGGCAGCAAAACAATGATCGTAGATTTTCGAAAAATTTACCTTACTCATTTGCATCTTTTTTGAATCAAAAACGACAGTCGTACAGAAATATACCGGATTTATTTCAAAAGCAACCGAATCACAAAAATGTACCGGAGCAACTTTATCATTTATATGAAACACAAGATGCCTTTGGAAATCCATTGAAACAATTGTGAATTTTCTCTCTCTCTCTCTCTCTCTTTCTTGTTATTGTTGTTTAATTTTTGTATGATAAGTTTTTTTTTTTTTATTATAATTCAAGGTATTAAATTTTAATAATTTAAATTTTCAAAGTATTTTGAGAAATTTGAAATGAAGAGAAGTGCCATCTAAATTTTCCATTTGAATAACAAATTCAAATTTGCATTTCATTTCATGCACAGATGTTAGTTATTTCCTTTTTTTTTTCTTTTTTTAGTGAAATGGAAGTTGAAATAAGCGAACAGCCATTGTTGAACATTTCAAAGAAACATCTCAGTACTAACTATGATCAATATAATAGAAATTTAAATGATGATATTGGTCTATCTCTAATTTCTGACAATTTTACATCGAAATCGAAGTTGAAATTGAAAGATGGTCATTATACGGAATCACAACCGGAATATCTTCAACCTTCCAGTAACAATATATTCAATGATACTGAACTTTTGCGACATCATTGCGATTCGCTATCTGTTCGATCAGAAATTCCAACACAATTGAAAGTACAAGAAAGTACTGTTCGTACAGAATTAAACGAAAATAAAATTTCAGTTAATGAAGGCAAAAATATTTCTGAAAAGACTGCATCAAAACTCTCAGAAGTTTTGTCGACAATGAATTATCAACGATTGGAAATGACAGCTAAAGAAAGACCACGCGATAATAATCGAGAATTGATGATAGAGGAAGGAAAGAACTTCGAGAATATCTTCGGGAAATTAAAAGCAGACAATAATGGAGGAGTAAACAATGCTGGGATAACTTCAATTAAACCAATTTTACATACATCATCTCGAAGAAGTAGCATAAGAAAAAAAGTTCAATTTCCGGTTGAATGGCCACAAGTAATTGCATTGGAGCATCGTCTCCTAATTGATGATTTTCATTTGGTATAAAATTTTATCAACTTTTTGGAATTCTCAAAAAAAAAAAAAAAAAGTTTATAATAAGAGAAAATGATAAATTAGTAAAACTTTAATTTCACAAAATTCCATTATAAAATTTTTGATGAAAATTAAAAATTTTGAAGCAATTTTTTCTTGCAAAATTCAATTGAAATCATTTCAACGAAGAATTTTTTTACTTTGCATTTTTTTTTACATTCTTATCCGAGTGTTATTTTAATTGTCATATTTTGTCAGTGAATTTGATAAAAGCATTTTTTTTAATTTACTCTTCGCATAACTCTCAACAAATATTTTTTGTATAAAACCATTTTGCTAAAATATTTTCTTTTTTTTTATGAAAATTGTAAATACAGAATAATTTTGGGAAACTTTTAAATAAGTGATGCAAAGAATACAAAGCTACGCATAAATAAATTACGTAAATTACGCATAAATATAAGAATACAATGCTGCGTAAATTACGCATAAATAAGTCATAAACATTCATAGGATCATATTAGCAAAGTAATGATTAACATTTGGCTCACTTCTATGGCTCAGTATGTTTAGTTTAGCCCAGAGAATGGGTAAGACTCAGAATTTATGGGTAAAACTAATTCTCTGAATTCGTCAATTTATCTATTTCAACTTATTTTAACAAGAAAACATTGAAATAATTGCATCCTTCTCTCATGAACATCTCATTAGCAAAGCTAATTGTAATCCATTAACTGTACGCGCTGATTTAATTGAATCTAAGCGACATCGATCCGTTTTCATTACCTTAAAAATTTGATTTCTATTAATATATTGAATAATTGAGATAATTTATGCAAGATATTTCTAAATTATATCAAAAGAATGAAATGATCAAAATTAGAAAAGTCATCTTGATCATAATATTTGATCAATTATTAATTTTACAAATAAATATTTAGATCAAAAAAATACCCCATAATATATGCCAATATCAATTTTGATAATATTATGTGATATTGTTATCAGAGATAATTGTTTAGTCTTTGTGAAAAATTTTTTCACATAATCAAAACAACTGCAAGGTTGTAATGTTTCACCAAATGATGGTCGATTATAATATTGTATGAGTGTATTTCGAAGTCGATTAAATTTGAAAAAACAATTCGAGCATGGAATGAATATTTCACTACCATTTGATTTTAAACCCTGCAATCAATATTTGAAAATTTTTGTTTTTTTTCAAATTTGCCAATACACTAATTTAATACATTGAATTTTGTAGTGAAAGAAATATTTTTTTTTTCCAAAACTTTCTTCCTTTTTTTTTTGCATTTTGGATTGTCAAAATGATTTAAAATGATTTAAAACATTTAAAATATTGTGCATATTCTGTGCTATCGTACGTGTTCTTTAACGTGTTTACCTTACTTATTAAATGTTAGAGAATAAAAGAAGAAAACAATTTCAATTTCATTGTTTAGTACTAGAGATTATAGCCATTAATTCATTAAATAATTTATCCAAATATTTATTAGAAATTAAAATGAACAAACCATGCGCACTGCAATTTCAGATGACAATGGTACAAGTACATATGCAATACTATGACGACTTTCCATATAATTCACATGATAAATAATTATCATTCCAAAAATTGCCATCAATGATTCGAACATATTCTTTTATCAAAAATTTACCTGTATAATATGAAAAAAGTAAGGAAAACTTTACTCGTTGAAACTAATTTCTTGAATTTTAAATTAATTCATTAATTCAGTCACAGAGTTATTGCTTTTTGATTGGTATTTTTGGATTAATGCATACCTTTCTGATTAGCTTACTGAAACTATGAAAAAGTTTTTTTAAAAAAAATAAGGAAAATAGAAGTGTTGCAATCGGTTATAAACAAACACTGAGCATAGATAGATTTTCTCACTTATTGAACATAGGAAATGGAAAAGATCTATTAAATGCCACCTGCTAATGTCAATTATATATTCTGCACCAAATTGTTACCTTTCATTTTAGTGATTGATATAGCAATTGAGTCAATTCAGCAGCTAGTTAAGAGAGAAACGAGAATGATAAACGCTTCTTCCATTCCACACCCTCTTTTTTAAAAAATATAAAAATAAACGGGTGAGACATAATTGTTGCACAATGGGTATGGAAAGGAGTGATATGATGTGGTGGCCAGCAAGGTATCAGTTATTAGCTGCTTAAGTGAGAGGTGAAAGGTCAGAGATGGACGATGATTTTATGGATGATCAAGATTATGGCTTGGTATGTATCTTACAATTTCACTTCATTTTATTTAGTTAATGAAATACAAGAAGATATATTGAAGATAAGTGAAAAGAGAATTCAGTCTCAATTTTAAGTTAATTCGTTGCAGGAATATTCAGATGATTCAGCCAGTGAACCGGATGTCGACTTGGAAAATCAGTATTATAATGCAAAGGCGTTAAAAGCTGAGAAAGAATTTGATAGTGCTTTGAAAACTTTCAAACATGTATTGGAGCTAGAAAGTGAGAAAGGAGAGTGGGGTTTCAAAGCTCTCAAACAGATGGTCAAGATAACATTTGCTGCCGTAAGTTCATCTTTTCTAGTGTATATGTTGATATTTCACTGCAAATAGGGATGAAACATCGTCTTACAAGTAACTTCGTAGGACTGGAAATTATTTGTGGAATTTTTTTTAAATGAACTTTATGTTTGAAACACTCGTGTATTGTAGAATCGTTATGATGAAATGCTGAAGTATTATCGACAGTTACTTACTTACATTAAGTCAGCCGTTACGAAGAACTATTCAGAAAAGTCAATAAATTCAATTTTGGACTACATTTCGACATCAAAACAAATGGATTTGTTGCAAATATTTTACGAAACAACATTGGATGCATTAAAGGTAAAGGTCTTCTGGTTTCATTGTTCTATCTTTGGGATTCAGTTAAAGTAGTAGGCTATTATTTTCACTGTATTGCATTGTGTGGATAGTGTTCTTTTAGTAAACAATTAGTAGTGAGTATCTTTAAATTATGTGCTTGTTTATGATCTCACTGTTTACCCCTCTTTGCACATTATTTGTTTAGGATGCCAAGAATGAACGATTATGGTTCAAGACGAACACAAAGCTTGGAAAGTTGTATTTTGATCAAAAAGAATTTGGAAAGCTGGAGAAAATTATCAAACAGTTGAGAAATTCTTGTAAGGTGAGAGATTTCTAGTGTGATTATGTTTTTCTTTTATTGAAGCTTTACTATATCTCGCAAAACTACAATTTTTGAATGCAGTTTTGAATCATTTTCGGAAATATTGCAACAAGAAAGTGGTCGTGAGTGAAAACAATTGTCATTTCAGAATGAACTCGGCGAAGAAGATCAGAAAAAGGGTACCCAGTTGCTTGAAATTTACGCCCTTGAAATTCAGATGTATACGGAACAGAAGAATAATAAAGCTCTGAAGGCACTCTACGAGCAAAGTTTGCATGTGAAAAGTGCAATACCACATCCACTTATTATGGGGGTCATTCGCGGTTTGTTTTATTCTCTTATCGTATTCTCACTTACATTCATATATTTCGTAAAAACTATTTCATGACATTCCATAAATTTTTAAACAGCTAAAAACTGAACTACTACATCTTAATTTTTTTTTTCTAGAATGTGGTGGAAAAATGCATTTACGAGAAAAGCAATTTGAAAAAGCCCATACCGATTTCTTCGAAGCTTTTAAAAATTATGATGAAAGTGGATCGGAGCGAAGAATTGCATGCTTGAAATATTTGGTGCTTGCAAATATGCTAATCAAGTAGGTCTCCGAGACTGGATTTATGATTACTACTTTTAAAACATTATTAGCTACATATCCAAAAAAATATATTCGCTTATAATACATTTTTGATAAGTGATTGCTTTGTTTTTAGATCTGGAATAAATCCATTTGACAGTCAAGAAGCAAAACCGTTCCGCAATGATCCTGAAATAGTTGCAATGAATCAGCTTGTGAGTGCGTACCAAGACAATAACTTGATGCAGTTTGAGAGTATTCTTGAAGAAAATCGTGATGCCATTATGGCTGACCCATTCATTCGCGAGCATATTGAAGAGCTGCTCACCAACATTCGTTCGCAGGTTCTGTCATTACTTTTCACATTTTTGCAATGTACAGTGCGTTTCAGCAATTCAGCGAATCTAACTGGATTCATTTGTAAGTTGCAGGTATTAATAGGCCTTTGTGTGCCATACTCTCGAATTTACTTGTCGTTTCTTGCCGAAGAACTTCGTGTTAAAGTGGAAGAGGTTGTGGTACTTCTTGCAGATTTGATTCTCGATGGTGCATTGAATGCAAAAATTGATGAAATTAATGGTGTTTTAATATCCGAATCAACCAATAAAGCAACACGGTATTTTTGTTTTATTCACATATTTGATAATAATTAGATGGTTCCGTACTTACTGAGTTTCGTTGAAGTACTTCTCTGAATTAGCTACGTAGCTCAAAACACTTTAGAATCAATTATCCAGTTCAAGCTCTGTGTCATATATATAGTTTAAACTAGGGAGAAAAGAAGTGGGAAGTGTTAAAATAAGGTAGAAAATCTGCTTCATCGAAATGGAATTCACTGAACTGCCATATTCTATGAGGCACAAATTCTGTTTTCATTACCTGAGCACAAAGAACATGCTTACTACCAGTTAGTACTGTATGATTTGCTGGTTTTGATTCATTTCCAAAGTTAAGTTTTGCAAAATCTTCAATGTCATTGTGTTATTGAGATCTTTTAGGTGCGCAGCGATTGCAAAGTGCGCGAAACAGTTATCTTCACTTCACCTTTCAATTGTAGATAGGTGCTCATAACACTAACCTCAGTGAATCTTGCATACTTCCGTGATTGGGCTTCACTTGTGTCCAGTTTCTGGCATAATTCAACTGTATTTTCTTGAACGATTGCATCTTATCTGCTTTGTTACGAGTGTTTCGCAGTTACTTATTTAGAATTCTTATTTTTCACATTTCACTTTTGCTCATGATTGTATAATTGTTTGGTATATAAATTACGAAAAAATCCTTAGCATTGGTTTGGTTCAACTTTCATGTTTTTTTTTTTACTACACCGCTTGTTAATAAATGATTATGCTGAAATGATTCAACGTTTGTAAAGGAAATGTCCACTATGTTTCAACTCAATATTTTTAATGTTTTGCATTTCCTTTCTCATCTTATTTCCACTATTACCATACATTAATTATCTTAACATCTTCTTCAGTAATTCAACTTTCACCCCAAAGGGTGAATGGGCCGTTCCTGGAAGTAGGTGCAATACCGGAACATTCCCTAAGTAATGCCTTCTTTTAAATACTATTAAAAATTTTGAAAAGTGGGGTAGAAATGCATCTCTCCTAGGTCCGTGAAGTTGTGCTTAAGAATTTGGATGCACAACCTTTTTGGCCTTCTGTTTTGTGAGCTTTTGTTTTCACAGCTTGTAATTTGCTGTGTGGAAAGAATATGGATTAAAGAGGTCAGTGCAGAGTTGTCAGATTTTTTTTTCCGTATTGGGAACTGGATTGCTCGTTCGAAGCTTTCTAATCTAAAAGCTGCATTTTCAGTAATTCAGGAAATGGCTTCTTCATCTGCTGCATCCAACTCGTCGTCAGTAAATCCCACGCGGATTTCTGCGGCTGAGCGACGAAAGCAGGTCATTATATGATAGACTAATGCTTAAGAATGTATAATTATGTATATTTAACAAAAGACCACAAAAATTTGCAGAAAGTCCTCCTTTTCCTCTTTCTTTTTTTCGATAGTGTATTACACAGTGTAGCTTGTTAGTTTTTTTTTTTTCTCTCTCAAAGTTTTTCGAGATTTTCACTTCCCACTTTCCAAGCGATTATTTTTGCTCGGATAAGTTTAATTTTCTTTTTGTTGCTTTTTATAACATAAATGATAGTATTGTCCATGTATTTATAAACTGTTCTAGATAAGCACGATTTCGGAAATATGATAAATATAAGGAATAAGAAAGTTAAATTATAGGTTTTTTTGGGTCAATTACCAGATGATTTCTTGCGTATAACTACTCCATCGCCAGTTTCAGTTCAAAGACAACAACAGCAGTCTGTGGTTCCTGTCTATATTACGGATCCTAATTTGGTTACTCAGCAATCTCTTTTGCAAGCACAGGTAACAAATTTGTTGTTTACAAGTTATATTCACTTATCAACACTTTGCTCCAGACATTTCGAAGTATCTTTTTAGCAGGCATTCTACAGTTTTGTACCTCCAAATACACGTGGTCGTCTTTCGATAACAGTTGTGAGTGCGAAGCTTGTAAAAAATTATGGTTTGGTGCGAATGGATCCTTACTGCTGTGTACGAGTAGGGAATGCCGTTTTTGAAACACCAAAGGATACAAATGGTGGTAAAACACCGAAGTGGAATCGTATCATCAACTCCTATTTGCCATTTGGTGTTGAATCATTTTATCTTCAAATTTTTGATGAAGTTAGCATTTCTTTTTTATTCTTCGTATTTCAGATGCATTATCTATTCCCACTTTTTCAGTTTTTTCATTTATTCTTCAAACAATTTATTTTGAAGAAAGCATTCACTGCTGATGAATGCATTGCTTGGGCACATATAATACTTCCAAATGGTATATTCTGCGGTGAGA